ATGATAGGATAATGCAAAGAAAAACAGGTTTACAGAAGTGTATGCGGGATTCAGCATTCCATGGGAAGAAGACAGTTAACTCCCTCCATATCAGTGTGGATTGCATTATCTGCAATTCCTGTCCCCAAACCATCTGTGATTCTGTTCCGTGGAACTGGGTTGGTCAGCCTGAAATATGATTCAAAGGAAAAAACCTCACTGTTCTCAAGTATGATTTTTGTTAACTTCAAGCTGCTGAAAACATCCACTTTATTATTCAGCTGCAATATGATGTATGTAGTATGCAAATCACAGAAAACTATACATCCTTCCCATGCTCTGCACTGATCAACCCCACCAAGATTCTCTTAGTTCTGAGCCACACTTTAACAGTAGCATTGCTGCTGTGGAATACATCCAGAATAGGATAAGCAAGATGGGGGAAAGGCTCTAGCAGCGGTCTCATGTGAGGAAGGGTCAAAGGCATTAGGAAGAATTTTCTTGAAAAAGATTATAGGGAAAATACCAAGATGTATCCTTAGCTTCTGAGCATCTGTGCTAAGAAGGTGGTATATGAAACATAAAGATAGAGAGCCTGCTGTATGGTACTTGTCCTTACGGCCGTAGGGAGACGTTGGATATATACATATACACTTAGAATAGCTGTGATCAAAATTGAATAATAAATGCAAATAGAGCTGTAAGTCAAGGGCTTTTGGAATTCAGAGGAGAGACATCCACCAGAGGAAATCAGAAAAGATTTCACAGAGGGGATAGTGTTTGGGCTGGGCACCGAAGGATGGGAAGAATTTGGAAATTCAGAGGTTTCTGAGAAAACATTCCAGGTGGAAGGAAAACGCGGAGTTATGAAAGCAATGTTATGTTAAAGATATCGATAAGTAGTTGAGTAAGATATTAGTGCAGACATTCATGCAAAGCTCAAACCCAGTAAACTCCCAGGAGCTCTTCAAAAATATATATTTTTTAAGGGATATCTTTATGCATAGCAATCACATGCTATAACATCTTCCACATACAAAAGTCAGTCCAAAAATTAAAAAGTCATGAGATGATTAATTTTTCTATATTTTAAACCGCCAAACAAAACCAAGAAAAACTCATTTGACAGCATCTAGGATCTGTTCAATAGTTTCTGCTAATACAATGCTAATCATGCTATGATAGGGTAATAACAGTAAAATCTTGCCAAAACTCAGCAAGGTACCGTGTGAGAGTATTGTTCTTAATATTTAAAGGACTGTCATTTAGAAACAGAAGTATACTTGATCTGTATTTTTCCAGAAGGCAGAACTAGGATCAGTAAGTAGTAAAGAAGGTTTAAATTCCCCCTGAGAATTTCCTACAACTTAAAATCGTCTATCCGTAGAGGAGATGACCCTATTAAAACAGGTAGCTTTTGCTTCATTGAAAGTATTCACAGACACCTGCTCACCCTGTGTCCCGATTGCTATAGATGAGGTTCTGAACCTGGTTAGAAGTGAGACTAGCTATGCTGTTAACATCTCTGCAACCGTAACATCCCATGTGAGTGTGTGTGCAACCTACAGATACCAGGCAAAGCAGAGTGAAGCAGGCAGATTGATTTTCCCATTTTTGAGGATGGTGCATCCTTTTCAGAAGTCAAGGGTAGAGTCAACATCGGCATATTATTTAAGGCAGGATTCAGTCCAAACATTTTACTTTATTAAGTCAAGAGTGCAGTCTCATTTAAACTATTTTGTACAACTATTGTGAGTTGTACTGGAAAAAAGTGTGCTTTAAAAACAATAGATATAAATTCTGTTCAAATATTTGAGGATATTATTAAATTATATCACACTAACTTAGCTATGCCACTTTTATTCGTGTCACCAGGTATTAAATAAGACTAACATGGGGGGCTTCCCTGGTGCGCAGTGGTTGAGAGTCCGCCTGCCAATGCAGGGGACACGGGTTCGTGCCCCGGTCTGGGAAGATCCCACATGCCGCGGAGCCTGCGCGTCCGGAGCCAGTGCTCCGCAACGGGAGAGGCCACAACAGTGAGAGGCCCACGAAAAAAAAAAAAAAGAAAAAAAAAGACTAAAGTGTTCTTGGCTGCAAAAGGAGCTTGATCCAATTCCTGACGTTTGATTAACTATCTTATATAAATATTTGCCAAACTATAATGCCATTTCATGTATAGTATTTATACATTGTGCAGCTAGATACTACACTGAATGAAGTTTAAATCCATAACTAAATAAACATTCGTGACCAATGAAGCTGTTTGCCTTGATGCTTTGGAACTTAAGTCAAATATATAGTTGAATTCTCTTGATCAACTCAAGCCATGTGTAGAAGCAGAAGTATGTGCTTGTGAATCTAATGTCCTTCTTTTTCTTTTTTTCAGCTGCAGTATTGAAGTATGAGAACAATGTCATGAATATCAGGCAATTCAACTGTTCTCCTCATCCATACTGGCTTCCCAATTTCATGGATGTTTTCACTTGGTCCCTGCCATTTGTTGGGGAAAAAGGTATGTTGTGGAATCCTGAGATGTTCTTAATAAAATGGTATGGGAAGGAAGGAGAGGTAATGCGGCCTTTTTTACCATGAAACAGTCAGAAAGAGAAACACTTCGGCCTAACCAGTAAAACTCACAGGTTTCACCGTAGGAGCAGTGATTTGAAAGTATGTCACTGTATATGCCGTTAACAATATGCAATGAGTGGAATTAAGGGGAAATAAAAGAGGAATATTAGGATAATTTATATAACCTCATTAGAATAATCCAACCCTTTAAAAAATAACAGATTCATAGTTTTGATTGGCTTCAAGCTATAATGGCTACCTTCTTTTCTTACCCCTTCGCATTATAATTCAAAAGTATAATTTTATTTTATAGACTACTGGTCAAACTAAAAGCTTGTGATAACCATGCTTTCCTCACATTTCTGATGTTAATAATAATCATTGTACGAAAGTGATTAATGGCTACAATATTTTGAAACACAGCATGTACAATAACAAAAAAATAGTTCATTTAAAATATGGTGGCCATTAGTATAAGGTGAGACAAATTTACATTTAAAAAGTTGTTTATTAGCCTGCCCCAGGTTTACAGAAGAATTGGCCTTATCCTTCTTTCCTTCCTTCTCCCTTTATTTGGTTTTTATATTTTGACCTAAACCTCAGCAAAAATTCGGAGGAAAGGCCTGCACCCACTGAACTTGAGTTTTCAGTTCAGGAGGTTTAATGGTGATAATCTGGATCATTCCTCATGCAACATCTTGAGCATCACAGAGAAGGTGAATGTGTGCATTGTAATAAACATAAGAGCTTGCACGTGTTTCAGAAAAATGATGTCTTATGGGGGGATTTTAGAGAAAAGCTGTACATTCTTCTGAAATATTTGTTTGTTTATATTAATACATATGTGTAATATATTAATATGTGTAGTATTTATTTTCCTACAATGTATTTTTTCTTTAAATATTCTAAAAACAATTAAACCCGAGAATCTATGAATTGTCAGCAAAGAAGTCTTCCCTTCCAACACCAAAATAAGTCAAAAGTAAATTTTAATACTTTCTGATAAATGTTCCCAGTACTAGTCCGTGTCACCACTTCCTCGCACCCATCAGATCGCAGCGTGGACACAGAAGCACTGAGAATCCTGACAACTACCCTTGAACACCCTTCATTTTGGTTGTTTCCATTAATTATTCAGATTTTGAACATCTGTTATAAAAGAATGTATTAATATATTCGTGTACATAATTTACGTTTTTTTCTTTTTTTTTTTAACTTTATATTTTATACTGGAGTATAGCCAATTAACAGTGTTGTGATAGTTCAGGTACACGGCGAAGGGACTCAGCCACACGTATGCATGTATGCATTCTCCCCCAAACTCCCCTCCCATCCAGGCTGCCACATAATATTGAGCAGAGTTCCCTGTGCTATACAGTAGGTCCTTGTTGGTTATCCATTTTAAATATAGCAGTGTGTACATAATTTACTTTTGATAATTAAACTGAAGCTCTGAGTTAATGTTGGCTCCAGTGAAGTTTTACTCTTTATCATGTATCTTCAATGCTAGAAAAACACTGATTTTAAAAAGTAACTCTTGAAGAAATAGTGGACAGGCTTCTTTTCACATTCATGATAGAACCCAACCTAATTTTTTAAAACGTTCAATGCAAATAACATGTAACTTAGTGTAAAGTGTTGCAGTACTGATTTTCTGTGTATAATGCTTTTATACAGCCCTCTTATAATCTATTTACTCAAGTAAATTTCTTATTAAACTTACCTGAGCTTCATTTGTAAAACCTTTTTGAAAATGAAGCTTAATGTTGTATATGTGTATATATATGTGTATGTATATATATATATCAACACATTCATTTTTTAAAATCAATATTCTCACAACTACCTCAAATATATTAGTTCATAAATCATCAGTTTTTCTTAAACACAAAACCACATTTCTATCACTATTCTGGGTTCTCTGGGGGACTAAAAAATTTAAAAAAGAGATCTAGCATTCACTCGATCCCTATGAACATAAAGTTTGTAATCTGGTCTAAATCTAGCAGCATCATTGTACAAATAAATAAAAATTCAAAAGTAACCATTTTCTCCTTCCTAGATTATAGTATATTCATATCCACATTTTTCTTTTTTCCACTGTCTATTGACCTATAGCTGGTAAATGTTACCATTAGATTTTGTAGGCATGAGCTAATAATTTTAAAAATATAAAGTCTGCATAGAAATACAAAGCCTGTTATCTTTTATGGTCTGAATTTTATAGAAACTACTTGCAGGAAATTCCATCTTCAATATAGGTAAGAATGTTATTGCTAAGCCTGGTCATTAACAGTGCCAGAGTCATAATTAAGGTTATAGTAGAAAATGTAGACTTTTTTTTCCTTTCTTTCCTTTTTCTCCTTAGTGACTGAGATGCTGGTAAATGTCCTCAACATCTGCTCAGATGATGAACTGGGGTCAGAGGAAGATGGATTTGATGGTAAGAGCCTTGAGCCTTTGTGCTAATGCTGTTTGCCAAGTAATTACTTGGCGTCTCGTAGGTAACCCTAAGAATAAATTTCTAAGATTTAGATGTGTAAATCATAACATACTGCTGAGAATGAAAGATATTATTATATTTTCTAGTTGCTTTGAAAAAAATGCAAGAAAAAACTTGAGAGAATTTTCCCCTTACCCTGAAAACATAGTTGAAGCTGTGAACTACTTTAATAAACATCTTTCGGTAGCTCACATTGCTAAGTGAGTTTTTTGGTTCTTTTAGTGATCCATTTTGTTCTTTTAGTTATCCATTTTAAATATAGCAGTGTGTACATAATTTAGTGAGGTTTCTGTCAATTATTCAAATTTTGATGTCTATGATAAAAGAAGATACTTACACATTGGTGTATTGGTATTTATGTCAACCCCAATATTTTTTCATGTCTATAATAATTAATGAATAAGCTATGAGGTTTTTTTATTGTTGTTTTTTAAGATACTATTTGGTATTCAGTTACCCTTGAAGAAAACACTTTCTATAAAAGACAAAAGATTCATGAGGTGAATGAAGATAGAAAAAATGACTCTGGCTCTTACAAAAGGACCCCAAAATGAATGGAAACTTACAAAAAAATGTAGTTGGAGGAGGAAAGTGCAAAGTTCACTTCCATAAACATTTACTAAGTACCTGCTCTGCACAGGGCACTCGGGATTCCAAAATGCATTAAAGACCTAAGAAGAAGTTGCAGTCTGGTTAGAGAGACAGATGCGTAAACATTATAATATCAATAAAATAAGTAAAGGGGGAAGGTAGCAGTGGAAACTAGGTATTGTGGCAAGTTTAAATTGATAAAATTTTTACCTTTAAAAACTGCACTTGGGTAAAATGAAGCAAGAATGTGGCCCTTTCCAAAAGTTACTATCTGAACAGCATGGTTTAATATTTACTTGGGCTTAATACAGGTCACATCTATGAATGCAGAATACCTAACTCTGTAGGCAAAAGTAAAATAAAAGTGTCCGTACACTCATGTAAATAGAGAGTATATACTTAGGTAAATTTAAAGTGTACAATTATTCCTACCATCTCATGGTTTAAGTAAGAACTTACTTAAGTAAATATATTGATATATTTTAAAATATTCAGAAGCTCAGTGGATATTCTGTGCTTTATCCAGATTCTAGATGTTTCATATGTTATAGTCACAGTTTACCATCATTAACTTTTCCAGGGTAGTGATATCATTTAAGAGATATTAATCTTCCTAGTGGAAGATTAGGAAGAGGCTATTTTTTCCTCAGGAAAGAATACTAATCTGGTAGAATCTAAATCTTAAAAGAATCTTAAATCTTAAAAGAATTAAAATCTTAAAAGAATACTAATCTGGTGGAATCTAAATCTTAAAAGTCAACAGACATTTTGCACGGCTTTCACTATGTTCCTGTTATTCCTCAAAAGAAAGATTAATTAGCATTAATGCAGTGATGCATCTCTGTTAATAGATCTCTGTTTTAGTCAGGTTTATTGACCAATAATTATAGTATAGACAACATATTAAATATACAACATATGGTATATTCAATAGAATAAGTAAACCTGCATATAATTGTAATTATGTTAACCCACTCATTCAGCAAATATATATTGAGTACCTACTGTGTGCTTCCAGGTCCTATAGCCAAAAGTATCTGCACATTTCAACAGTGCAAGTAGTATTACCAAGACCACCTCAGTGTTTACTTCACTTATAGTGAGTTCTCTTTATCCACCCATTCAGTCACTTACATGAAAGGATATATTTTGGAACTTCCTCTGCTTTAAAATTATTAGTTCCAGTCAATGTACTGTGCTCATCAGCAGTTGCTTTTAAGCTTGTTTATTCCAGTGATAGGAGTGCATGTCCTTTTCAAGGCACTTGGAAGAATTTTTTCTTTCTAAGCAGACCAGTGAAATCTTACTACCATGCTTAAATCTTAGGTTAGTCCTGCAGAGAAACAGCAGGACTAAAATATGGGATTTTTCAGTTCAAATCTCACAAATTTACCCTCTAAGGAAAAAAAAGAAAAGAGAAGTAAAAGTTTTAATTAAAAAATATGTTTAGGGCTTCCCTGGTGGCGCAGTGGTTGGGGGTCCGCCTGCCGGTGCGGAGGGCACGGGTTCGTGCCCCGGTCCGGGAGGATTCCGCATGCCGCGGAGCGGCTGGGCCCGTGAGACATGGCCGCTGAGCCTGCGCGTCCGGAGCCTGTGCTCCGCAACGGGAGAGGCCACAACAGTGAGAGGCCCGCGTACTGCAAAAAATATATATATATAAATATATATATATATATATATATATGTGTGTGTGTGTGTGTGTTTAACTTAGAATATTATACATTTCAGAGTAAATCATCAGAAATGTTCTTTAGTGCTTTATTTTAACACGGCACAAAAATTATGGACTTCCTCAAAGGTACTCAAAGAACAACTTATAAATCTTCCCAGAACTCTTTAACTCTTTTTGGAACAATTGTTTATTGAGAACATATATTTAAGTTTTTTTTTTTCCTTTTTGTGTGATATTATTTTCAACCTTAGGATAAAGGTTCCAGTTCTCCCACCCTGTTCCTCCTGCAGGCAGCCTGCAGAGTCTGTCTCTCTCTGGGGGCTGGCCCTCTGCTCTGCCTATCAGGCTCCTGGGCTTGTGGTTGGCTCCAGAGGTGAAAGCAGGAATCAGAAGACATCAAAGGACTTAATTAAAGCACTTCCTGCTCTTTCTAAAGGGGAGCCATGTCTTGATGGGTCCTTATCAAACCCTTCTCAATATTTTGCTTAGTATCCAACATCAAGCTGCAAAATCCAAGGCAGTAATGGTGCCTTTACAGCCCATGCCTATCTGTGTATCTTATCCAGTTGACTTCTTTGTGTTTATAAAGTCTATTGCAGACAGAAATTCTCCTCCTATCCTTGAGGAGTATAGGTGTGGGATTAATTTTGCTTCTTTTCTATGTTCTGTCAGTTCCCCTTTACCACTTAACGGTGACGATGGCAGCAGCTAACACTTATGTGTTAGGCATCATTCTAAGTCATTTATATGTATTAACTCTTTGCTAATTGTACCTTTTGACCAACAAAAATTTGTAATTATTAACTATCATTTACTTTAAGGAAATTTTCTAGGTTATTTATGTTATCTCTAACCCTCAAAACAACTTTTTGACATAGGTGCTATGATTATCCCAGTTTTACATATGAAGCTAGACAGACTCAGGGCAGTGAGGTTAAAACCTAAGGTCACAGAGTTAGTGAAGTAATGGAGCCTGGATTCAAACCAATGTCTGCCTGGTTCTCAGGCTCTTGAACTTTCCACAACCTGTGATTCCAGTGCTTGAATTTTTTTTTTTTTTAAACAGCATGATGCTTTTTTGTTTTTAACAGAACAACACTAATAGCTAAACTTATACTTTAGTTCGTTCTGTTAAATATCCATAAAATTACAAAAAAAGATTTTTACATTATTATTAGGCCATGAAAGTCAAAGCAAATAAAATAGTTTTGTGCTACTCTGTTAACCTCAATTTACTCCAAGAAGTTATGTGTTTGATAATGTGAAAAATTGTATTGTATCTGAGCAGACAAAGAGTCTCCTGGCTCGCCTAGGCTTCTGCTGGGTAGAAATCATGTCATGAATCTCTCCTCCTTAGCTTCTGCCTTACAAATAAAGGAATTTGATAGCCTATCTAGAAAAAGATCACTGTTTTATATTGGTCGATGGTTCCTTTATGTTGAAAATAAAATACTAAACTTCTTTTATCATGAAAAGTTTTGAAGCACTTTAATGCCAAGTGATGTCTTTTGAGGATCTAGTTTATATGTATTGGGGTCTTTGATTCCTGTTTCCACTTCTGATTTTGGATGATAAAATGATAGTCTGGTTTCAATTTGGGTTTGTTATTCACCAGAACATTTCAAAGAAGGAAGAAATCCAAGTAGATGTATCTCATTTGGTAGTTGATTCTCATTAAGGAAGAAGACTCATTTCAGACCAAGGATTAGTAAGTGATCCCAAAGTGTTGGCAGGGGGTTGGGGGGAGCTGACAGAAATCAAGCAATCTGCATCACAGAACTTTCTTTACTGTTCATTGTTATAATAAGGAAGTCTGGAATAGCAGTAAGTATTAGAAACCTAATGACAGTTTCATGAGTTAGAAATATTTATTTGGAACTTTCTTTTAGCTCTAAAATCTTAGACTCTGAGATCACTTTATCTATCTATCTATCTATATATATACAAGTTATATTTGAAACTATGATATGTGATAAGTCTGGCTAACAGGAAAGAATTGTGGAGGTAAGACTGAAATCCTGTAGAATAAGAAAGGAAAGAAAAAAATAATAAAACTAATAATACATTTTAAGCCAAATATAGTTTCAGGCTGCCCTGGAAAGACTTAATATTAAATTAGAATTTATGTCTCTGTTTTCATCTAAGGAGCAAACCACATGGTGGAACTCTTATCCTTTATCCACATTTTTGCCTTATCCTAATGTTAACCACAGGCAAGTCACTGAATATGGGATCAGAGCAGTTTTTTGCATGCCTCTACGAAACCATCTAAATTGTATACAAGAAAATTATCTCCCATCATCTGCTTTGAATTATTAGATAATTCTTCAGATCTAATATCACGGGTTCCAGAGTGTCTCCCCACTGCTTTCTGTTTAGCTTTAAAAAGCCATACAGAACTTTAATTTAAAGTACAGAGTTGGGAATTAGTAGGACTAGCGTGGCATCTTATGGGTCCTTGATGAATACCACTATATAGGGTTCGGGTATATCATTTTCTACCAAAGCTGTATATATTTGCCATGATGAATGTTTGAGATGAATTTCATCTTAAAAATTCCCCTCTGCTTTGTGCCTCTGGCAGCACATTCGCTAAGAGCCATTAGCTTAGAGCTCTTCCTGTGGCTGTAATTATTGTCATTTCTGAGCAACTCATTTCAGCATCTCATATTTCATGTTCCCAATGTGAAAAAAAGTTGTGTGTCTGATAATAATTGGCAGTTTGGGAGAAAAAATATGACATGTTAATATAAAAAATACAAAGAAATGTTTAGACATACAAAAAAAGAGCCCTCAGCAGCACTGTGGCGACATGATTCTTGTTCTATCAACTTTGAAGCATAACCTGCCATTGGTGAGCAGAGGAGTAACACCATAAAAGCAGTGTCTGAGAAACAGCAAATACTTTCCCCAAGAAAACGCTTGGAGAAAGAACAAAGGATTAGTTGGGGTATAATTTAGGAACTTAACTATTTCAAAGTTGAGGTGACTAGATCGGAACAATGATAGTGTTAATAATAAAAGGAAAAGGAGGCTTCCCTGGTGGCGCAGTGGTTGAGAGTCCGCCGGCCGCTTCAGGGGACACGTGTTCGTGCCCCGGTCCGGGAGGATCCCACGTGCCGCGGAGCGGCTGGGCCCGTGAGCCATGGCTGCTGAGCCTGCGCGTCCGGAGCCTGTGCTCCGCAACGCGAGAGGCCACAACAGTGAGAGGCCCGCGTACCGCAAAAATTAAATAAAGGAAAAGGGAGATATTCTAAAGAGCTGGGCTTAGAACTATGGTATCAGTGGGGCAAAGGGAACAAAAGTGGATTTGGACGGTTCAAACCTCAGTACCTAGGAGGATGAGAACACTTACAGAAAAACTTCATCCGTTTCAGGGAGAAAGGAGTTCAATGACAGACATGAGTTTGAGTACACACATGACTCTGGAAGTGCCCAGGCAGGATTTGGAAATGGAACCCTGGAGACTGGGGACAAAATCGGGTTTGGTGACAGAGGCTTTGAATTAAAAGTCACAGCCGAATCTACTAAAAGTCAAACAGGCCTCCAAAGTTACTGATGTGGAAGGAAATGTCAGAAAATTGAGGACCAATCTGTAAAATTATCCCTTCTTTATGAAGCTGGAGAAAAAAGACAAACAAGTGAAAGAGAAAGGAGTGATGAGGGAGACAGCGTAAGAACCAGGATTGTGGAGCAGTTCAGGCAGCAGCTATTTTAAAATATTTGCACCAAATGCAGAAAAATTACTGGAGATATAAGTCTGACCAGAAAACCAGAAAGTGAAATATTAGGGCATAACTTTGTCAGATAACAGATTATTGAAAAGAGGCAAATAGCAAACTTTGTTTTCATTTTTATAATACCTAAAATAGAAAATTGAAATCATTTTTTAGAAGGCCAAAAACTAAAATAAAATGCAGAGTACCCTAATTTTGATACCATGTTATATTTCTATCTTATTTTTTATTTCCATGTCAAAGTATTTATTCATGAAATATCTTTTTCTGCGTATTCAGTGGCAAACAAACACATGGCCTCCGCCTTCACTAAGCTGAGAGTCTAGTGCAATAAGAAACCAATTTTAAATATGCTGGTCTCACAGAGGATTTAGAGGCTTGCAGGAAGGGGTGTGAATTGGGATAAGATATTTGATAACTGAAGGAGGAAACATAAAGGACATCTTTCTCGTTCTCTTCTACTTCTGACAAGGGAAAGAAAAGCACTTTATGTATTTTACTGCTTTAAGAAGTATGGCCGTGTGAGAAATCCATATAATTTTTCCAGAAAATTTTATGCAAAGATGGGTATCAGTTCACCAGTGTTAAGTTCTCTTATCTTTTAAAAATAACTGAGTTTGCATGATGTAATTGGAGAAAGGAAAGGATGACATCTATAAAAAGAAAGATTAGTCAGTATTTTGTAAAAGGCTTTGTAGTTGCTTGTCAGGCTTTTGTTAATTACCTTCCAGTTTATGGTTGATTTTTTTCAATTATTTAATATTTCAATGTGTAATTTAGAGGCTAAATCATTTTCGTCACTATAAACGTATCCTTGGTACTCTGTACCCTTTATAGTACAGGTAACTGCTTTTTTTCATCAGGGCTGTGCTATAAAAAGGAAACAAATAGTTATATCCAGTATATTGTTAAAACTGAAACATGTCTAAAAAAATACACATTTACTAGGTACTAGGGTATGACCTCCCATCATATATATGGCCATTGATATTTTGGGGCCG